ACAAGCATCTGCCGCGCGCTCGCGCGACTTGCAATTAACGTCCTTGCGAACAGGCCATTTGAAATGTTGAAATGAAAACAGCGGGTTGACACACACAGCAACGAGGTCGGATACGTGTCGACCGAGGGGGAAGGTGTCGTTGACAGGTTCGCGAGGGACGACGCTGCGATCCTCATCCTCCGGCCGTGCTTTTTCGTATCTTCGCGATGCAGCGATGCATCGTCCCGAGACTCGCGCGGATCCGCAATTCGGCCTTCGGTGACCGTTAAGGTTAAGGTTGCCAAAGTGCAACCTTCGCCTTCTGAAATATCGCGAGACCTGCCTTACCGGCCTTACAGGATATGTTAATGACCTGCGACCCCGAGGACCCTGAGGAGAATCCAAACCTCTTTCATTCTCCTACTGCTTTCGTCGTCTCCCCTCGTCCCCCCTCCCCTCGCCGCTCCTCCCTTCGCTGTTCTTCTGCTTTGCTCTGCCTTAGCATAAAACTTCGGGGCATTTAAATATTAAATCTTGATAGGAAAGCCATTGGTCAAAGGAGCGCCGTTCAATGTTCTTCTCTCCGCGTCGAGACGGTTGCCGCGCTACTCTTTTTATTCCGCCGGCTACTGTCTCTCCCAGCATCGGGACGCTTTTTATAGAATGTGGGAACCCAGCGCGACTTTTAACGCGCGTTGGTGAAGCATTAGAATGCAGAGAGAGAGAGAGAGAGAGAGAGAGAGAGAGAGAGAGAGAAAGAGAGAGAGAGAGAGAGAGAGAGATCAAAGCGTTCTTTTCTAAGATGTAGCTTCCTGTTACGTAACAATATCGCGCGACGAGAACTCCAAAGAGTTATTCTAATTCATTCTACCGTACGTATTCGCACGGTCCGCTGTGTGCGACACGTTCTGCCGCGAAATTAAAACAGAAAACGGTCGAAAATCTGGACCTAATGAACAATTATCAAAATCGCTTCAAAGTGTCGAAAGGACAATAGGCGCTCGCTATCATAATTTTCACGAGATACAAAGGCCCATATTCTGAAGCCTCTTTCATCGCTAAAAGTGACTCTAAAAATGGCTTACAGCCAATCAGGAGGCTTATCAGCCACCTTCAGAGTCACTTTTAGCGATAAAAGAAAATTCAGAATACGAGGCCAGAGATTCTCGCACGTGACTGTAAACGTAAGACGTATCAGCGACTAATTAGAAAATATCGCTTCGCGTAGTTCTACCTGGAAGAAAACGGAAGAGTCGCGACTAGGAAGAGTGCAACTAGGATTTTAACCACCTAACCTAGTCCTAATCACCTCGGCCTTCGATCAAATTTATCAATCTCATCTCCCTCCCTCGAGAACACAAACCCAAAGCGATATCCTGATTGATTGTTCAGCTCTCGTGTTACATTTTACGTTTCCAGCTGCCAATTTGCGCGAGAACGTCCGGACGATGCGGTGCGAATCGCGTCCTTTGGAAATGTGCGACGCATTGTCACTGCTGACTTATGCAACCGTTGCACTTTAAATGACTCACGCTTGCAAGTGCACGGCTTGAAGATCAGACAACGTGTCGTCGACGTCGAAGACGCGCGCGCGCGCGCGCACGCCTATCTAATTAGCCAATTTGCACGCGCACGGCACGCTTCGGCGTATGGCGTCGACCGTGTCTAGCTATCGAGCGCACACGCGTCTCGGATAACGCTCAATACTAGAACGGCGCATACATAGGGGTGCCCCGTTCGCCCCATCGTCGTACCCCTCGCACAACGTACTTTCAAGGCAACGGACGAGAACGGAGAACGCCATGTGGCGGCGGCGACGGCGGCGGCGCACAACACTTTCACGGGTCTGCATGCGCCCGCCGTCCGATGACATTTGCAACGGCGAGCTAACGATAACGTCTCTCGACGATCGGGGAGAGACCGCGAAAAAGATCAGCGCGTGCGCGCGCGCGAAAAAGCGAGCGGTCCGTTGCGAGCGCCGACCAGTCGCCCGACGAAACGTTAATCCCGCTATGACGCATAATACCGCTTGATCCGGCTGAGCCCCTGCCTCCTGTGGAAATGCCGTATTATTTTAGCCGAATTATATGCCGGCAAGGTGATCGGCTAAGGGGGGATGCGACCTCCTTCCGAGCGAACGCGCGACTCGAGAGCGGCGGCTTTTGGAGAAGTTGAGTCTGAAAACGACGCGGCGCTTCGACAAAATCGCCGAACCGTTCAATTTGCTTCGTGTTTTGCCGGAAGATCGCGTCGAACGACGACAATACGTAAACGTACGTTATCCCACACGAGAAGAGAAAGCTGTTGAATCAATAGCAATCGTTACCCGGTATACATCGTGCGTTGTTTCAATTGCTCGAATATTAGCTTCGTTTCTGTTCTATATCGATTAGTCCCGTCGTCCGTGTGAGAATCTAGTCTAGCCTAGTCCAGTCTTGTCTAATTTGAATACGAAATTCTAATTAGTCGTCATCGCACGTGTATGTTCATTAGAACACACACACACACACACATACACGGATGTGCGCGCACACGCATTGCACACCACAATTGTGTACAATTGCTGTCTCGCTTGTTTATCTTGTCGCATCAGACCGGCAGAAAATTTATAGACTTTCTTCCGTCCGCGTGCTTTGCGCGGACGTCTACTTTCTCTCTCGCCGTGACATTGAATACGATCATCATCGCATTACGTAAGTAAAACGCGGTCGCGGACAGTGACCTTTCTGGCTAAACGCGGCGCTAAAGAGAGACAGGTATACCGGAGCCCGGTCTTTCGCGCGAGACAGCTGTATCCTTAACGGTCTCTCTCAGTGTGTTGACGACCAACGAGGGTAGGTCAGTATCGATGCGTGCAAAGTGTAGTTGAGCGAGTGTACCTCAAGTTTGACCGGACATTAACGCACATTTATTCGCACTGCGGATAATTACTGACATCCTCCTCGTTTTGCGCGCAAGAGGCGATTGCTGAGGTATGTAATGACGAGGCAACAAAGCTGTGCCCCAATTTTGAAAACCGCTCGCGTTATATCTTTTCAACCGCACGCGATTGATTCCGAATCACTTGGACCTTTCAAATGTGACTTTTAAGATGTAAAAACTACTTGAGAAGTTCTACAGAAGTTCTTTCTCCTTTTAAACTAAATCGAAAAAAAATCTAAAAAAAGCTAATAATAGAGAATATCTGTTGAGAATATTTGCCGCGCGGTTGGATCGCAAAGAGGGAGAGAGGGAAAGAGGAAAATGACGTGTCCACGAGGAAACGATTGGCGACGCTTTCCCATGCATCGATACTCGTCGAGAAGGGAACCCCGGCTATCGATAGCCCAATAGCGCTTAAGTACCGTAAGCATCCCCGAAGCACACGGTTCCCGCTCTCTCGCTCCTCTCGCGCCCGAGACGCGACCGTTCGCCGGGCGCACGTTGCGAACCTCCGTGGGGCTTTTGCCGAAGGTATGAATAAAAGGGGGCGCCAAACTAACCAGCCACCCAACAAGGAGCAGGTGAGCACCTGGTCGTCCGTAACCCCGGCACGAGCTACTTGCCTCATGGCTGAGGAAGAGGTGCTCAATGATCGTCGATTACCTCGCGGTTTCCGTAATCTCCTCTGCATGCCTGGGATTGCTTATCGCGAGAGAGAGAGAGAGAGAGAGAACATTCATCTTCGTCGATATACTTATATCGCAGCCTCGAAGATATAGCGATTAGGGAGAAAATTATCTTCATCAACTAGGCAGTAAATAAAGGAAGCTTTCAATTTCAACAACCGTTGTATGTTGTCTTGGCTATCCATCTTATCTTATCTGTCAATCGATAGGTCGAAATACACGAGTGATATTCGAGTGATATTATCGGGGAATGCAAACGGCACTGTTGGGACTAGAAAGTTAACTATCCGTTTTCTTATCTGAGAAAAACAATCGGGGGGAGAGTTTTTTATCCATGTTCATTACCGAGCTTCGCGATGCTTAGTTAGCGAATCCTCAGGTCAGTACACAGATCGAATATAATGGAAGATTTGAATAATAGGGCGCATTATGTGCAGCGGGTTGCTAGCAGACCGTGGGGTTTAAACGGCTTAGCCAACCGTGCGCAACAATTCGAATGGAATAGCCTTTGTACTTCATGGAAGAAAAAAAATGGGAGTTCCCTTACAATTAGCGGGAGACGAAAGATCGTTGAAAAAAAGTTTGACGGCATTATCGATAATATTTCTCTCAATATTACGGTGTTTCATCTCAACTAAAAACCATGCCTGAATCGATGACGCGCGACGCCGGTATAACATTGCGACAATAATAATAAAAATATCGCGGATACGTATCTGAAGAGATTAGCAGCGAAGCTAACGCTCGACGCTGCTGAAAGAAAACATGGGCGCCGCTAAAACGGACCGCGAAAATGAGAAACACTGACATTTGAGACTGCGAACTCGGGTTCGCGGGGTTCGGACCGAACAAATCGCTGAAGGACGGGGAAATCCCTAACACGTATCCCACTTAATCCCTTTCCCTTCCCCCTTTCTCTGAAGCCTCCGCGCGCGCCGGGCTCTCTCACGTTCCACTTCATCAATATCCATTTTATCCGTAATCAACTTGACGTCCTCCATCCCGCCCACCGTTACCAAAAAAATTCCGCTGATATCGCCAATATCAGCTAATCGCTCGGCGCTAATTACCGGCGCTATTAAGCTAATCGCTCGCTTAGATCCAGCTTTGGCTTCAACGATCCGACACATATTATGTCGACGCTCGAGAGAGTTTCGTCGCGCTCCTCTCATCGCGTTGCGTTTTCAAAAATATACCACCTCCGCGCGACCCGAGCCGCTTTGCAAAATGGCGGCTAAAAAGGCGGCTTCTATCGAAGTAGAGGCAAATGCACGTATCCAGGTCTGTCTTTGTCAACGAGACTCATCCCGAGATTGGGGACAACATTTTTATTCTCAAATTTGTTGCAGAGACGCACGACGAGTCTCTTACATCGATCCAAGTATCCAGCATGAATAAATAAATAAGACTTACATGAACGTTGAGGGGGCCGCTTCTTCTTGGCGTTACCGCCGGGATCGAGCGACGACTTGCAGAGATCGTGGGCGATGTTGGACATCGGCGACGCGCTCATCTCGGCTAATGATTCCTCGCCGAATCTCCCGGGCGATCTCTCGTCCATCTCGGCGATGTCCGACAATGACATTACTTTGCGACGACGGCACCGATGTCTCTTAACCACGTTCGCGCACTACGTATCGGCGAAGTGAGTGTCGGCGCAAATCAAGCGACGAAGTCTCGATTCGATCGCGAACGTTCTTACGAGCGCAACGTTGGTGCCTCCGGCCAATTGTCGACAGACAGGCCCTTCGACGAGAGAGAGAATAGTCTTCCCTTCTTTGCCTGCGGGATATCCAGACGGAAAGATATGGCGCGCGCGCTAATGAGTCGATGTCTCTCCGCTGTCTCTCGAGCGGGAGCCTAATCGATCGATCGCAGGATCGACTTGAAGTCGCCGGCAAATCGCGGCTGTCTTCAACACCGGTGCCGGTGACACCTCGCGTGAAGTTTTTGCAAAATTTCCACGGTGTTATTTGACAGCGACGGAAGATGTCGCAAATTGCATCCGATCGATTTTTACATGCGTGAATTCAAATTCCGATCACTGTCAGGAAGCAGTCACAGTTTCTCTGAAAATGATCCGAACAAGACAAAGAGATCCGATGAGTGTCGCGCAGAGAGGAGAGCAAACGAAAGGGGGGTAGAATAAATATTACGAGTACAACCGAAGGGTTGTACACCTCGCGTTAGCATTGTGACACGTCACACGTTCGTCTTTTAGCAAGGTTGACGCGGTGCATCTACCATGCGGGTAGAAAGAACGCGTTTCCCCGTCGTGGAAGCCGTACAAGTCGATCCGAATGACGTCTCCCGGAAGCTCCGGTGGGACTTCGCGACTTGAATCGTACACAGGATGTGCCATAAACCGCGACTTCAATTTCAACGACGAGGAGAATCTCTCCGCTTCTCAACACACGTTTCTCTCCCCCGTTTCAAATATTGATGATTGATCAAATAAAAAGTATCCCAATTTTTCTGAGAACGGATATTCAACCAGCCGCGCCTCGAGATAAGATTCCGTCAAAGCAAAACCCGTCGTGTGAAATGACCGCTTGTTTATTTATACCCTCGTGGCTAATATTGTGACCGAGACCCGATGTTATGATTGAGAGCGTGATTCAGTGTTACGATTCGGCACGAATAACCTTTCATGCCGACAGCGGCAATTACGCCTGCCGACAGGCGGCTCGAGGAGACGTCAATTGCGGAACGCTTCAGGCCGCGCTCGTTGATCGTGAAAGAATACAGGCGGCCAAATTCTCATGCACATCGTGCACGAGAGAGAGAGAGAGAGAGAGAGAGAGAGAGAGAGAGAGAGAAAGAGAGAGAGAGAGATGCAGCACGCGGAGAGAAGGAAAGCTCGGAAAACCGCGCGTCTCTCACGCGCGGTTATCGATCGCCGACGCGAACGATCCTGAGCACCTAACCGATGAACATAACACGTCAGACTTACACAGCATCCTCGTCACTCGACAATTGACCGGCGTAGCACTCGCGGTATATCGCGGCGTCCAGTAACCATATCCGGAGTCAGTGATAACGCGCGCCGCGGCACAACAGACTTTCGACGAGAAATGTCGGTCGACGAATGTCAGCGGCGAGTTTGTACAGCACTACCGACTTGTTTGCGAATAGCCCGAGAAGACGCGAGAAATATAGCTCGGCCGGCCCGACGCTCCCGGATATACAGACTGACCGTTGTGTATCTCGTTAGTCAAATGCGATAAGAACAGCGCAAGCCGCACTGCCGCCAACGACGAGATGGCGCGAATTAAGGAGATCGCGCGGGCGCATCATATGTGGCGCTGTGACAACGGACATCGGTAGAAGGGGAATGTATACATAAACAGATCGCGACAGGAGAGAGAATAGGAGAAACAATATTTACTTCTGCTTCAATGTCCCGTGTCGGACAATGAAGTATTCGCAGACTGAAGATTGCGTGTAGTTGCGTGCAATTTGTTGATTCATCAAAGTCTGTACATAGGAAAATATACATCGTACTCGCACACGCACAACCAAGTGTTGCTTGAAACAAGCATTTCGTAATTTTATATACTTCAATATCCACCATAAGTCCATCATATAGCGTCAAATTCAATTAAAATATATTCTGAATTCTAGTGAAATTCAGTGCAATTCTAGTGAAATCAAGGATATTAAATTAAAACACAAATTCGGTTCGCTTCCTATATAAAAAGTTTCATAATATTCTCGAAAAAAGAAATAAATAAATTTTTCTTTTGAATATAATAATGAGCTTTTCTATAAATTTTGTAATGAGTATATTTTATGACTATTGTTAAGAAAATATTCTTTGTCGGAAATAATCATTGCTTAAAAGAAGAAAAGTAAACTAAATGGTCACTGTTCTTAACAATAAAATATTTTTTCTCTGTATAGCCTTTAAATTACAACCCTCTGCTCCCAATAACTAGTCTGACGCAAGCTTCAACAGACTTTTAAGGATTAAAAAACGTGTGAAAATTAATAATAGAAAGCAAAGTCAAAAGAATGTATGATATATATGTATGTACATATGATTACATAAAGAGAACAACTGCTGCTACACTTCTGACTCTTTACTTTGTGCTTGCCACTGCACTATAAATAAAACTGTGTTCTATATGATTAAATTAAAAAAGATTAGAGTAGGTGAGTTTTGGTGACACTTTCAGCGAATGCAGCGCAATATGATTGATCACACAAATATACTCTATAAAAAACGAAACTTTCACATAATTTATTTATCGATTTATATGAAGTAAGAATGTTATGTCGCAGATTTATAAATTCATTGTCTTCGTTGTCAACGCCCTTACAACCAGGAGCTACGTTACAATGCTCCTTTTTAATATGTATATAACACACAGCATTATAAGTATATATTTAATATTTATATTATATATCTGTGTGTAATAAATACGTCATATATTTACAATGCTGTGATCAGTTTTTAATACATAACGAAAGATTCAACAATTGTATTACCAGAGAAACAATCCTGTAGTTGTCGACATGCTGACACCAAATATTAATATTCTCGTTTGCAAAGTCTCTACATGTAGCTGCTCAATGACTTGCAATCACTAACGACGAGCACTTTATGTTTTTACTGTGACGTTAAAAAATGGCTATGCCATATTTGCAGCACTGCGAAAAATCGTTTTTACTAGTGATCTCTTTTGTATAATACCTGTACAATATTTGTATATAATATTTGTACATTAAATATCACTGGCGTTGCAAATTGTCCATCATCGTAAAATTGTTAGAATCTCGTTACATCATCGTATTTGTTACATAGTACATGTAAAATTGGAAGGAATAACACAAGAAAGACGTTTGTCATCTTTGATCGCTCTCAACAGCAAATTCCACCAAATAATTAAAGACAGCACAACGTCGAAGTATTGTCATAAAGTTCCTTTCTTTCCATAAAATTTATAAAATATGTTAATTTAATTCAGGTAATCAGGTAATACAATATATTAGCATGTCACAATAGCATGTTATGATTTGCTTCGCGTAATCTTCTGCAATGAATATCTTCGTTGTTACAAAGCAATGCACGCGTAACTCTCCGGCGTGCATAATGCGATAACTTAATGAAAATTACTCTACAGGACGATAAATTTCGTGTATGTCGATAAAGTTATTTAGAATACTGCGGAAACATACCTCTTCTTTTTAATCTATTCTACTGCGTTTCAACTTTTGGAACTTTCTTTTTTATTAAAATCTGTTCCTATGTAATCTTCTAATAAGCGCATGAATTGTCGTCACCTGGACACATTTCTCGTTTCTCTGTAGTCAAGACGGCTCTTGACAGTAAAAATTCGGCATATATATAAAAAAAAAATATATATATATATATATATATCGCGCGCGGTTAATGTATCACCTAATATTTAAGGCATAGACAGGACAGAATGTTTCTGTTAAAATCTAAATTGCGGAATGTGAATATAAATGCGTAATGGAAGAGAATGCGACTAATCATTCCTAACATATCTTTCGCTCAAGTTGTGAACTTGCACGCCATGAAATAGACATCTCTGCCTGTCGAACGATGCAAATGTGATTCGCACGACGATACTTTACGTTACGGCGTATGAATGATCGATCGTGCAACATCGCGCGAAATACTAAGCGAAAAATATCTCTTTCTTTCTACAATGAAATACTACAAGCTTCCATTGCTTCATTCGATCACATGATTAGACCTCTGTAAGGATTTCGGGGACATGATGTAACCGCTCTTCACTACATTCACGACGAGATTTTTCGGCTTCGGCGGTAACGGCGGAGGTTTGGGTAATTTCGCGCGAGACGCGTCCGCACCGTAACTTCCTGAGTGTAGAGTCTTCGATTGGGGACTCGTACCGTTCTCTATGACCGTCTGATCTCCATCCACTAACGTTCTATCGCCGTCTAAGGTGAACGAGCTATCGAGGCACTTACTCAGAGGCTCCGTAATATTAACCAGGGCCGAGAATCGTTCATTCACACCACCTCCGTTTGTCACGTGCGCGGGATACTCGTATCCGCTGCTGCAGCTTTGCTTATCTTCGTTAGAATCGTAAAACTTCGTGGTACCCTCGCAATTGGCCGATACTACTCGACTTCTTCGCATCTTGTTACAATCCGACGGTTTCCCATTCTCCTTGTTCTGATCAGTAATTTCATAGCTTTAAGAGTCGAAACGTATATGATATAGAGATCTTAAGAACTTTATGTTTATGCACACGTAATGCTCTCTACTGCTACCAACTTTCAATATGTTAAGATAGACCAAACACCACATATTATAATATACGTGCAATTGTACCTTTAAAAAGTCCGGTAACTCGAAATTGATTTCCGTTCCTCTCTGGTCCTCCAGTCTGGATCTTTGTGCTCTTTTCAGTCCCTCGTATAAATCTGCAAAGAAAAGTAATCATGACTGTTTTAGTAAGACTAAGTAAGAGAATCCCATAATTTATTTACACTTTTAAGATTAGATTAGATTCATGAAGATTGTTGGATAAAGTCAGAAGAGAAAAATATTATTCTTACCATCTCCGTCGAATCTGCCTGGAAGCTGCAATTTCACACCGTTACGCCACTTTGCGATCAATGGAGGCTGAGATTTAACAGGCGCTCCCTCGTGTATGCAATCATTCGTATTACCTTTCTCGCTTGTATTGCAACATTTAGATTTTGCCTTGAATCAAGAAAAATTGAAAATAAATGGTTACATTAAGGTCACAAAAGTTTTAATTTGTAAAAACATATATATTCGATATATACGTGCGTGCCTTACCTTCTTCTTTCCGTGAATCGTTGAATCGCGAAGGAAAAATTTACTGGACAATATGGAAGATCCTTCCGAGCGCTGATCATCAGACTACATGAAATAATATAAATGATATTAAAAATAACAGTATATATGAAATTGTACACACATTTTATTATATCCTTTCGGTATTCGGTTATCTTACCTTACATGACCCTTCGCTATACTGATATTTATTCCTACTCTTTCCAACCAAGAGTTCTTCGAATACTTTATTGGTAATTTCATCCAAAGTTGGTTGTGCGTGTGGTAATTCGTCCAGATACTTGGCAGTATGCAACTCCCGTTGAAAATCTGTAAGAATAAAATTTTTATTGAAGCTTAAATTATGACTTTGTTTTGCATTTTTATCTATTGTATGTTTATCTAATGAATTTTTATTGATTTATATGTGTGTATGTGTGTATGAAATACACTAACCTTCCTCATTCGCCATTATAATAAGTCGTGTAGGAGCATTGATGGCCATAACGTCCATAGGAACACAATGACCCTCGCTCCAAATACTAATTAAATCTAAATTAAAACCGTATTTATTTAGAAGAGGCCTCAAGACATCCTTCAGCGTTTTACCCTTATGTGCGATAATGCTTATTATTCTTCGCGAAGGTAATTCCACCTTCAGAACCTTCGTGAGAACGACTTCCACTTCTTGACTTGCTAATACTGATGAAGGACATTTTGTGTCTACCATCTGCAAACAACAACATTTACTTTACTATATAACTATTGTATTTTAGAGCATTAATATATATCATAATATCGATATATTAGTGTACTACTATTAAATGATATAAAGATTAATTCACGATTAAATAGCGAATTAAAAGTATAGCATATATGTAAATAGCAAGTAACATTTCTGACTTAAAATGTAAATATAATGCAAAGAAAAAACAATTTTGGTTTCTTCCTCCACCAAGTTAAGTAAAAATCACTACAGTTCGCCATATTCAAATGCATCTCTACGACATTCCGTAAAAATTCTACTTTCAGCATGCATTTAACGAGTAACAGGCAGCACAAACCTCATCTGTCGCTAGTATCAGTACGTCATAGTTAATATATCGTAGAGCTCTCTTATCAAGGAGACGGGTAACGACGTCTTTAATGCTGTCGGTTTGGCTAGTCGTCACTACTGTAGTGGACCCATCAGGCAATATTACTCGACACAATCCCGTACATTTGTTGCGAGCTTCTTTCTTATCGTTCGCTTGTCCTTCGCAGGACGATACAGACTACAAGCACACGCGCACACACTCGTTTAAATATATGTTCAAATTGACATGTACACTTCAAGATCTATCAAGATCTGATCAAGAAGATTGTCAACTATCGTTTGACAATTATAAAAAAAGATCTCAATATATTATTTTTTTAAAAATATCAAGAAATCAATGTGACTGAAGAGATTTGATAGAATCTTCATTCTTTTTCCTGAAGAACTTGTTGTTAAACGTCTACATAATGTATTTTTGGAATATCTTCAACAAGAGATGCATAGCCAAAAAGTTTTATAGCAACAAATTGGATCTACCAATATTATAATACTCTACAGAGCAGCTAATGTATAGTTTATGGATTAATGCGACATATATACTACTCTTTCACCCGATTATTGTATAATAACAATAACAACCTTCTCAAGAAATATGTAAGTCTGACTAATCGCATTCTCTACGGTAGCAGACTTTACAGACACACATCACACTCATTGACAACTAATAACTCAAAAAATAATGAGGAAGACTTATCATAGAAATTTACTCTCAAACATAGATAGAGGAAATTTTATTAATGTGTAAAGCAAACTCTAGCAATTAGTCAAACTAAATATCTTCGTAAATATATGTATAGCTGAATGATGCTTACATGTTTGTTGAACGACTGCCGCAGTGCCAAATCCCACGACGCTAACGATGATCGACTGCTAGATATCGACACGCTGTCTTCATTATTGTTGCCTTCTGTTTCTCTTTTAATAGCTGTAAAGCTCTTATATATAGTCTCACTTCGACTGGGGACTTTGTTGTATTCGGTTTCGCCGCGATCTTTCGACTTAGATCTGAAAATATGAGACGAAATATACGTTTTATTCTCCTTGAATATATTCGAGGGTATTTTCCTGAACAAACATACAAATTCGCAAATAGCTTACCTGTTCTTTCTGTTCCAAGGAAGAATCGACTTTCGACAACGATCTTCCGCATCGGAGTGGCTTTTCTTCAACTTTACACTAGGCGAACTCGTAAGATGTAGATCACAGTCTTCCGTATTAACTATGGCGGTACCTGCCTCCAAGCAGGCACGATAAAGTTCCGATCGTAGGAATCTCGGGTAACTGTCGAACTTCATCAAATTGAATACTTGTTTCTGGGCCTGGAACGATAAAAAACGTTGGTCGAATTACAATTATTTGTTGATTCAACTTTATAATAAAAATTTATAATAAAAAAGTACAGTAGTAGAATATATCCTCAAAAAGTATCATCGATTCACTGGAAACAAGTAATATTTTAAAAGCCTTGAGAATGTAACATAATAACGCTTTCGTTAGAAATGAGCGCTAAATGCAATGTGACTTAACACAGTATACGCGTAATTAATAGTAGTGCGTAGGATTTTAGTGTAGTGACACATACTTGTAAAAATAGATCCGCAGGTGCTTCGTCGAGCAGTTCCTGAGTAATCTGTCCCGATGCATGACTATCCACGTTTACTGGCTCGGCGGCTGTACTCGACAGATGACGTTGGTATATCTGACAGGCTAATCGATGCCGCGTAGCAGCGTCTTTAGTATCTTTATATCTCTCACAAGCAGCCCAAAAATATATGTTTTCATGACTAAACTCCTTCTTGAGGAACTCCTTGAATGAAAACGATAAATTTAATATAGTTGCATAATACTCGTACGATATGTATATTATATATACATGTATATAATATTTAACTGATATAAAAGAGACCGCATAAAAGTACTCACAGCGAATGTTTGCAAGCCCTTTGGATCGTCCAAAAGTTTTTCAAATCCATTCGCCCACATGTGTACCCCTTTGCAGTCATTGTTCTTGTCGCAAGACTCCGTGCTACCATGCTGCAACAAACACATACATTCAACTGATTAGATTGAGCAAAAAATGCTGCCGTGATTATCTCAAGGTGAGTGAATATATTGCTGCAAGTAAGTACATAAATGGGAGACAGAAGAGGAAAGTAGAGGACAATAGAAAAAGTAGAAATAACGAATAAAAGAGGGAGAAATCTTATCTTGTATATTCAGTTTTACATTCAATCTAATTTCGTTTTATATTCAATTTAATTTTTATTTTAATTTTTAATTCAGTTTTATATTCAATTCAATTTCCTTTCTGACGCACACAACAAGCAACGTTTCCATCGTGTGCGCAAAGTTATCTGTCCATCGTTCGACTTGTGAAACTGAGTCCAACTTCCAACCAAACGACATCCCGATATTTATTCCTGCGCATTTCTATCTCGAACCTTTACAGTTCCACACCTGCCGCGCGCGCAACAGGTGCGCGTTATGAGAAAACGCTTTCTTGGATCGCTCACCTTTCGCGTGCTCCGTTTTCCCATCCTCCTTCCTCATATTCTTCCAGCTAATGCGCAATATTTCAGCCTCTCACGCACGATTTTTTCTTTCAATTGATATTATGTAAGTGAAGCGAGTAAACTTGAGAACATCATTGGCGAGAAATTAGAATAAGTAGGAATAATAATCTCTCTCTCTCTCTCTCCCTCTCTCTTATTCTTTTTCTTTCCTTCTTCCGGACAATCCAGAGTAAGTCGAAAACTGTCTGTATATCAGTCAATTCGGGGAATGCGGTTTAAACGATGATAAATATGACTCGTCGTCTCATGATCTCACGAGGTTTGAAGCTCATAATTACCAATAATTAAGGAAATGCCTACGTCATGACTGTAGCACCCAAAGCGCCGTAAGCACCACCGAATGAACAATCGAATCAAGCCGATTCCGAGTCAATTAGCTGAATTAAAATCGCGCTCCGCGTCCTTTTCGCTCGCTACTTACTTGCGACGCTTTCGTCCTGCGTTGCGTCTGATTCATAAAGCGGCTGCTCATTGGGAGACGCGCGCACTTGAATTAGATTAACATCGACCTCTCCTGTGTTCACTTTACTACTTGCTCATCTAATAACGCGGGATGTCGAATTTAATGCGGCAGAACAAGGGCATCCTGTGCGCGGTTGATAGAATGCTAATCCTTTCGGAGAACCGCGGAAGAAGGAAAGGTGTTTACGTCGGACGAAAGCGCACCAGGCCGACGTGCGGTAATTGCGACGAATGACGACACAGTTTACCCCTTTAAGCGCGCACAAATCTGCTCCGAATTCGCCGAGGTAATGCGTCTCATCGAGGAACCGACGCGACGACGGCGGGCAAATATATATACATCCTGCGCGCAGAACGTTCCACGAGTAAACCCTCCCGTTTCTTCTTCTCTACCTACCGATTTCGCTTCCATGTCACGATTCGCGCGGCCCGAGTACGTTCTCACAGCGGCAGCGGCAGCGGTGTCATTTATCAGCCTCTTGGGACGCGCGTTTGTGTGCGTAACGCGTTCGCATACTTTGACGCAAAATAGGTAAAGTCGCGCGAGCAACAACGGCAAGGAGGAGGACGGCGGCAAGGACGACAACGAGGAGAAGGAGGAAGATGACGATGACGATGACGACGACGACGACGACTGCAAGAGCTAAACGGGCAATTCGCTCGGGTAACGAGGACTCCGCCCAGCAAGACGGCCGCCGGGCATCGCCGTTGCTGTGCGCTTCCCAACGACGCGAGCGATGAAAGCGAGCGATCACATTCGCTGCTGACAGGATCTGCGCGACGGAACGCGGCGCGATGCGAGGTGACGTGTGATATGACGTGACGTGCCCGCACCAACGTGCTCTACGAGCTGCTGACGATGACGACGACGACGACGACGACGACGACGACGACGGCCACGAATACTCCGAACGCGCCGCTCGTGATCATCGTGACGCGACCGCATACACAACGTGCGCCTCGCACAGTTACTACTACCGCGTTCTCGCCAGGCTAGGCCACTTTACGTCGAACAAGGCCCACTTCCCTTCCTCCTCCCCCTCCTCTTCTCCTCCTGCCGTCCTTCTCCCTCGCTCGCTGTGCGACTGATTCATTCTCATCGCCGACCCCACTTCCCCCCCGCGCCTCTTCCGCTCCCACAGTCACACCACCACTGATGTTCGCACTACTACCATCCACCAGCGCGTCACACGGCCTTTCCCTCTCTGTCTCCCCCAGACTCTGCCACTCAACCTCGTTTTAACATCTACGCAGGGCCGCATGCGGAGAGTTGCCCGATGAGACGCGACAGCTGATCCTCGGGCTTCTTGAATGTATCCCCAGTGAGCTCTATAATATACCGGATTGAGCCTGAAGAAGACAGGTAAACGAAGGCTGGACTAATCTGGCTGTGTCAGCCAGTCACATCTGCGGCACCTTAAGTGATACGTGCTGCTGACACAGAATCGATCCTACCAACATCTATCTGCCTTCTGAAGGCTCATCCCAGGATTCTACAGTGACCACCGAATAATGAACGGATGAGCTCATCATAACGAGAAAAGACAGCGAACCGTCCGATCCTGCGTCTATCGTTGTAAGATCTATTCGTGCACCTAAGTGTATGAATACGCCGTGCGTATGAACCCCTTAGCTCTCTCGCGGGAACGTTCCTTTTTAATATCATCACGAACGTTACCGTGCTCGCGACGCAGTTGTCGGGAGCTATTTTCGGCTCCGTTATTGTCGGTGCAATTCAAGCAAAAGCGTTTCACGGCTCGAGCGGTGTCAGCGGCCACGTAACGACAGTTGCAAATCGAACTTCAACGTTTACGATCCTCTTGTTATCCTCTACGAACATTCTTCCTACTCTTTTCTTACTTTTCTGTTAGGTCTGAAAGAAGATTTCACGTGTTGAGGCTCATTCGCATCGGGATACGCTCCGTGGAGAAAATTGGAAAGGGAACGGCCGCAGCAGTGGCTTACCAGTTGACTCTTACTAAAAGACACTGACTTCGAACTCGTCCGAGATTCTGCAGGCGAGAGGAAACACGCGACCACATCGGGGCTTCCTGTACGAACGACGAATTTCTACGGCGCGATTTCGACGACTCGACGGGGGTTCGTAGCACGTCGCGACCTTATTATTGTAATTCCATTCCTAGAAGCAGGAGACACGTAGAAGCACGTACATGCCGAATAAAGTAAACGAGTATGCGAGGACAGCGTGTGGCGTAACGTGTTGCGACGCGGGAACGCGTTCACGGAGGCACACACGCACACCGATCTGGTTTCTGGTTATTTCGTTTTCGCCTGACCCTCGCCTGTGTACGCGCGAATCAGAGGCAGGAAACGATGACGCGGCTTGAATAATGTGTACACGAGAGAAACCGGAAGTCGTTCAAAGGCGACGAAAAATCCTGTGGGACGTTAGAGCATTATCAACGCATGCTTCTGGAAGTGATTCAAAGAGGATATTGTTTTTCCTTAAAGAGAGAAAAAGGAGGGGGAGATATTTAGAAGCATAAACGTAAAATCAATAAAACTTTGCCATCGTTAATATTAGTATATTCGAAAGATTCTAAGTTAGTTTCAATGTTTCTCTCTCAACGAAAGTTAGCACAGCGATGCACCAAAAGCGCGCGGAGATGAAAAAAGTCTCAATATCTTTAATATGCTCCTCTTCGCTGCGTACGATGCCACCCCTCTTCCTTTTTCTTTCATCAAGCCTCAACCGTATATCTGTTTCTTTTCAAGTTCCGAAAATGCACCCTAATCTTTCCAAAAAGAACAGGCCACTTCATCGTAACGCTACCCGTAGGTCAAGCAATTTAAGCCCGAGACGCGAGCCCATAATAATCTAAGAACTAACAGCAAAACTAGAATTAACAGTAATAGCTAGAAAACAAAATAAACACACAAGTGGTTCAAGAGCTGAAGAGGATGACTGCTGAAGACTCACTATGCAATTGTCCGAGACGCTGTTGCCGAGATTCCGTATCTCCTGCAGGCTTCCCCAAGGCCGCGGCTTGTCCTGCTTGCCAGTGTACGAGTGACAGAAGGGTCGCGCGTACTCCATGCTGGAGTTCACGTCCTCCAGGCTGTGCACCAACGACTTGGTCACCTGACCGCAGTACACTTTCGGGCTGAGCTTGTTGTTGATCGCGTCCGTGAATCGCTGCTTCGTCTTCTCCGTGGATGACGTTGTCCTGGACGATTCGGCGGTGTCGTCCTCGATACCGTCGAGCATCGCCGTGGTGCAAACCGACGCGAGGGAACCAACGGACGTACTGGCCAAAGCGCAGCCTCGTACCGCCGTCGTCGTTACCGCCGCTGCTACAGGGGCAGATGTTCCCGCAGGGACGCAGGTGGTGGTCGTGCCCCCACTATTCCCCACCGTCAACCGCATCTCTGAAACGCGTGCCCTCGTAGTAGTTCCCCACCGTTCTCCATTGTTACTCGTGACCGTCTGACGGCCGAAAGCGAGTACGTGAAGAGACGCGAATTACGACGCGGCGTGAAACGCACATCGCGCGTTTCGGCGTGTGTCATGCTGGCTTTACCTTTAGCCGGGTCGAATTTTAGTTCCTTGTTCCACCGTACTTCCGACGTCGCGCGAACCGCCAGCCGGTGCCCCGCTGCCTCGCTGATGGACTCCCGAGATGTCCGCGCGGTTACGTTCTGAAAAGCGATCTTTTGTTAGGCAAAATACAATCAGTAGCGCGACAGGATTAATCAGGACGAGCAGTGAGCTGGTTTCGATTAATTCAAATAGAATAAAACGTTCAGTAGCCGGAGATTTATTATCTATCATTTATTTCTTTTTTTTTTATATTAAATACTCGATAAGAGTTGTTTTAATTTATAAAGCTGTACGTATATACCAGCTTACTCCAAATAATTTTACCAAAAATATTAAGACGCGACTGCGTAGTTCAAAACAGCAGAAATGAAATCTGACTCATATAAGTGCAGAAAATCTTTATCTCTCCTGAGAAGCCGGAGAAAGATAAAAATTGTTCATTGAGTAAAGGCCGGTGATACATTTTACGTTTATTTTACATGTGATGAATGTATCGTAGATGATATATCAAACATGTATTGGCAATCGTGTGTTAACATTGCCCATTCTTTTTACATAGATAGTAAATTTATAGGAATCATAAATTCCAGAATTACCCTATATTGCATATTGGAGGGGCACTGTCTTCTTCGTCCGCAGTCGTTCGCCGTGTTCTTGCCTGAGCAGCTGCCATAATCATCCTTAAAACCAATCCCGGAATCACTGTTGCTGGAATGAGCAGTCGATGTGCTAACGTTACTTGGCTGAGGCGAAGCGGCGTCCAAACGTATGCGCGCTTCGTTGTAAGGGTTCGTCTCGCCATTCGTGCAATCCGATATGTACAATGTTTGTATGGCACCGATAAGATTTGTACAGCTATCGGGGAACTCTTGACAAACATTCAGTTCGGACGACTTGGTGCACGTAAATCCGAACACATTGCACGCACTAGAATGCACTTGGTGATCGATTAACTTATAATAAATAGTAAAGACGTGACACGAGTTGGAGACGATGTCGTCCGTATCTCTCATGGATTTAGTCAATATACCAAAATACTGCTTATCTTGTTCGGAGAAAGAGTTACAAAATATTATTCGATAAGAGGGATATTCCGCGATGACACGATTCTCCGAATTAGTGAGCTTGATATTGGCAACATGAATTGTGAGAAGAACAGTCGTCGGGTTTCTCTTTTCCGCCTTCAGTCTTTTGATACATTTTCTCAAAACCTGCAACAATAACATCAGATGAAAGATCACATTGTGTACTTGATTGAATTAAATAAGATAACTTAATTTAAGAATTTTAATAATTGCAATAAGTAGAGAATCATAATGGAAACAATTAAAAGATTTTGCAATTGTAATAATTAAATACAAACATACCTGCATCATACACGACGAGTGCAACTGATTCGGTATATCAATGGTACCGAGATAACCAACAACTGTTCTATGAACGATTTTCTCAGAATCACGTTTGTGCGACACCGGAGGAGGTGGCGGTGGCAAAGGACTCGTCATGTTCCAGCGATAGTGTAGGCCAGAGTAACCATAATGATCCTTATTCTCCGACATTGTGCTAGAGCCAACTGCATGAAACATAGCTCCGCTCTGCAAATCCCTCACTACCTTTGCCACTCTGCATTGCAACTGCAGAGCACCAGCGTTAGTGGCACGAGGTTTGTGAGCATACTTGGGCTTGGATCTCACAGTAGCCAGACCTTCTTCATCGGATGAATCAGAATAGTAATTCTCAGCTATTTGCAGTCGTAGCACACCCTTGGAGTTGCCTATCAGCTGCACCACGTCGTCGTGCGGTACTTTGCTGACATTGTGACCGTTGACAGCCACCAGGTAGTCGCCAGCACGCAGGCCAGCGTTCTCTGCTGGGCTGCCCTGCACGATGCAGCTCAGTATGCATGGCTGTTGGCCCGATATCGTGAAGCCGAAGCCTTTCGCACCGCGAATCACCTCGACCGCCCGCACGCCGTAATTCACTCGCTTCTTCTTCCTCCTCTGGTTCTGGTGCATGCTTCTCGCACTGTGCTCGCGGCTCGTCAAGAGAGATCCTCGTGGAGAAAACACGTGCGCTTACCACCGTTGCCGAAGACACTTCCGGGATCGCGTCCACGACGATTCCCCGGCTCCATAATTCGTGCTCCGCGTATTTACAGCGCGCATTCCTCGTCCAACGACTCGCCAGCGCGACGACCCAAGTCGCTCGAAATTGCTCCCGAGTGGTAGCGGTTGCTAGTCCCACCTCTTCTGATCATTCGTAGGCCGTATTGAATACCAAACACAGGTCCATTCGACGTAAAATAATAGAAATGTTCGTCGGACTGCGATGTCTCAAACACATTCGTGACCGATTTCCCTCACTCGTAGTCGGGAGCGCCTCGCACCTAGTAAACTCTGTGTAAGTTCTATGACGACCGAATGTTTTGGAATGCTTCGATCGAGGAGGCTAGAGAAGAAGGTGATCGACCTTGCATTAAATAGCCACGGTTCGAAAGTTTATGAAATGATGATCACGTTGTAGGGTGCGCTCTCCCGCTGATGTTTTCAAGGACGTAATTATATGATGGACGTCGCCTTGATTATTTTGATATTGATTATTTTTTTCTGCCGAAATCGATTATCGTATGATGTTTCTCTTGATTATCTTCTTGACGACAGTTGTTTGTTTGATGTTATTACAAAATCGTTATTGATAATTCCGCGAAAATCCTTCATTGACCCGTTAAAAAAAGGGGTTTTAAATAACGGGTCTAATGAATACGGTAGACCCCTTATTTAAGTGAGTTTGACCAAAGAGAAACCTGAGAGCGGACAACACGACATTTTCTGCGACACCGACTTTCCGCACTGGGAAAGGACGCCATTTGCATCCATTTTGAGAGGGGAACTACGATGGTACATTCACTTTCATGTGGTGGAAGTCCGTGCTACATCCATTTTCAGGCGGTTTATGTCCGTGCTGCAACTATAGTTGCCATCTTTATGCCAGACTATGCCTGATGGTCTAAAAAGAGCGGAGGGAGAAGGAAGGAGCAGAGAAAATAAAAGTACGTATTAAATGTTAAATCTTCGAATACATGTTGCTGTATCAAAATCTCCTCTATAATAAACAATTTGACATGTCTGGAGACGCATGATGTATCGTTGCCCGCGTCCCCCGTTCCCTTCGTCCTGTTTCTCAATTCAGCATCCCGTCCGCTCCGGACATTCGCTCGTGGCACTGACAGTGGTCGTCGGTGAGCATTCGATCCGCTCGGAAGAGCACGTTAATTAACGCGACGAGACTCCGATTATAAATATCCCGCGAGTCGACGAAATATTTGAATTTTTAAAAAAAGCATCAAAGAAAATCACGTTGATGTTGTCATGGGTGAAATCTCACCCTGGTATACAGGGTGTCCGGAATGTGATTATTAATATTTTGTGTACTGGTAAATTGGGTGTAGCCGAGAAGAAAAGTCATGTACCATAATAATGACCTATTGTCAAATTGGCAATAGTTATCGAGTTATTAATTGAAACATATGAGCCAATGAGCGCGTAGAGAGAGCTGGGCGGCCGCCTCTTGTCGCTTGCGCTCGCTCGCGTCGTTCGCGTTCACTCGCTCCTCGTCGCGCGCGCACGTCTCTTGTCGCTTACGGTTGCCTCTCGCCGCGCGAGGTAAGCCATCTTCTTATATACAGAGCCCGTTCTGTCGCTTTCTCGTACGCTCATTCGTTTACACATTTTAATTAATTACGGAATAAATATTGAAAAAATTGTAAAATGGCACAGGACTTTTTTAATTGTTCTAACGAGTTCTACCAGCACACAAAATAATAATGATCACATTCCGGACACCCTGTATATTTTTTATTTTTGAAATAAAAAAAGTCAAACGAATGCAATTAAATGTTATTTATCATCATTGAATATTAGATGAAAAGTAGAAGAGTTATTGTACGCAGCGGATAATCTCTCTGTATAAAACGTCGAACTGAAACATATTAAAAAGTATTGACATTTTGAATACGTCTGAATTCTGCTTTCTGATCCGAAGAAAGGGACTAAAAAGTACTAGTTCCCATTAAATTTCACCGCGCTAAATGCGAGATGGCAGTAGTAAATGCTTCGCATTAATAAGGATTCAATTCGTTTCAAATATGCCTTGTATTCAATCGCAATCGATAATTTTGAAATGCGAACTTTCATATTGAAAAATATTCACTTCTTCTCCTAACCGTTTTCGGATTCAGAGGCATACAAGATTTTCACGTTCTATTCCCCATCGCATTGAAAAGTATTGGCCCGTGATCCAATCTGAGATTCCCGCAAAGTAGAAATCACGACAAAATCTCGTGAACGCGAAACAATACTTTTAAATACGACATTTTATGCAGGACTAACATTTAATAAGAACGAGACTAAATTCGCATGGGATGAAATTCCATTATTTAACGCTACCATGACCTTTAATTATTCTCCGAAAACGGCGTCACAACAACTTACACTCTATACAATTAGTTACTAACACATTTTCTAATCGTATATATTCCTCTTTAATTAACATAAAGCTAACAAATGTCCGATGCTTCGACAGAGTAATTTTTTTATTTTCAGCAATCAATAAATAGAGTGCATCAATGTCGCGTACAGCTGAAAGGCCTCCTCGCATTCCCCTTGTCGTTCCGGAACCTTCGAGAAAAGAAGAGACGCTCAAGGGCAAGTCTCTCTTGCTTCAACCGCCACCGAGGCTCGCAATGTTTACATCGCGCCGATTGTGTTGATCGACTCACGAGCGACGACACTTTTTGCCCTTCGTAGTATAATACTTGCGCACCTCGTGTATTTGACCTCATTCCATCAACAGCAGCCGTGCGGGACGCACTCATCACTTCCGTCTCGTGTAATTAAAAGAAATGTATCTCGTCGGTCCTCGAGATACTCAATCGGCATCGCGTCGGCATCGCGTTGATTAACCACACGGTCGAATCGCGAATATCGGCATTAACGTGAGCGAGTGAAATCCGAAGGACTCCAGCAGCTGGGAAGTAGGACGCTGGTAGCAATACGTCACGTTTCCAGGTATGTGGAATTATATATTATGCGGGAGATCTTCGATAACGAGAGCGGACGTTTGACGAATTTTCCGGGAATAAGAAGTCGGAATTTCGCGCTCGGCGCGAACTCACAATCCGTCATCATCCGACTAGTAACCATGACTTTATGAATATGCAATTACTCTCGTTAATCTCTGTCTGTCTATCTATTTATTGCGTTGTTGTATACAAGAGATATTGATCCAGACAGAGACGGATAACGGTCCATGACCGCGAATCTGTAATTCATCATGTTCTTAATCAAACATTCTGAATAATTCCCAACTGTATGAATATACCGGTCTTGTGTAGAATATTCAACGTCATACCGCTTCTTAGACTGCGATCTTTTTTGTTTTCGATCAGCGCTTCTTTCAAGTCTGTTTACTCTCATTACGGGTCTAAATTTAAATGTCCATTCGTAAAAGAGTATTTTCGAGAGCACACAACTGTTGTCTCCGCTCCTTGTTGTCATTATTTTTCGTCAGCTCTTTCAAGAGCTCCTATCTAGACTTTCAATGTCAATGAAGAAAAACAATCGTAGCGAATATTCTCCACTCATCCCGACCAAACATTCTTTCTCTATCGCAGCTTACCAACCAGGAACGCTAAATTTTTGTTCCAGACGTTGCGGGAAGCAAGTCCGGTGGACGCGGATGCCGCACCGGAGGATTTGGTTCGGACAGAGCAGGGTCGGCCGGAAGGTAAAGTTTACAAATTTTTTACACATCTGTGTTAAACCCTTTAAAATCTTTGCTTTTGCAACTTGTTCCTCATCAGCTCTCTTGAAAGCTTCAAGTCTCATTTAAATTTTCAATGTTGGAACAAAAATATAAAGATAAAAATTCCTTATCAAAATGTTTCCGTATTTTCGATTCGTCCCGATCAAAGATATTCTCTCTCTACCGCAGGTTATTAACCGGGAAAATTATTTTTCTGTTTCAGTTATTGCGGAAAGCAACAGCAATCCGGCGGACGCGGATGCCGTACCGGAGGATCCGGTTCGGGCCAAGCAGAGTCGGCTTGAAGGTAAGTTTACAAGTTTACTATAGTCCTCTGTTTGACCCTTGGTGATCTAGAGCTGGGATATAATTTCCGACTAGACTTGAATTACGATCGCAGAGGGTAAATTACTTTTTTACTCACCCGCACTCGTTGGTCAAATTTAATGAACGAATGTGAATTTTTTGTTACAGAGTTGAAGCGGAACGTGGCCGGCTCTGACTGCAAGTCGTTTCGGTGAGTCAAAATAAAAAGAGAAACAAAATTCTGACAGATGTGGGACTAAAAAATATCGTTCGAGTCAATGCAAATTGCAAATAGATTCTTGCATGTGTGTGTTTGTGACTGTGTTGTGTTGAATAAAATACATTGCTCGAAACAATCAGGGGATTACTTGATCGATAGCCTGCATTGCATACGAGATTTAAAATACCGAATGATTCTTTTTTGATGTTCATTTGAATAAGAGATATTCATGTTTACAAACGCGATACCGTCATCAGTTGCTTTATTTTCATTTTTCAAGCGGGCCGCAGAATTATTTAACGACAATTATTTGACAATATTCAATTGACCGTGTAAAATATATTCATACGCAAAAATGACGATACCGTTGGTTACTTTTCTTTTATTTCCAAAACAGGCTGTACAATTATTTGGCAATATTGTCCATTCATTACGATCCCTACTGTCTCGAGTAGCGTATAATGCACGCAGAAATTGCGCCAGCGCACGTCGAGCTTGAGGTATCCTCGCTCGCGTGCCTTTGAATATCGCGACCGCAGTTATCAATATATGCGTTTTTACCTGCGCTTCTAACAAAGAAAGCTTAAATTCTCATTTCGTCAAAGTATCGCGAAAGCAAACTTCGTCGTGATGGAATTATCATGCGTGAAAATTTTGCCTCGCTCTCTCTCTCTCTCTCTTTCTCTCTCTCTCTCTCTTTCTCTCTCTCTCTCTCTCTCTCCCTCTCTCCCTCTCTCTCCCCCTCTCTCTCTCTCTCTTTATGCTCCCTCGGAGTAACCGGTTTCTAATTATCTAATCTTCCCTCGCATGCATTCGCGAATATTCTCGTAGATATCGATACTCCCGCATTGTTT